TTTTTTTTTTTTACTTTTTCTCTTTCTTCTCTCACTTCTTCCTCTATCATTCGCCTCTCTCTTTCTCTCTGTGTGCGGTGAATGAGGGAAAAGAGACTACCAGAGATAAGACGAATCCAAAAACAAAACAAAAAAGAAAAAGAAAAAAAAAATACATGGAGTTTGGTTTATTCTCTCATACCCAAAACTCTCTCTCTCTCTCTCTTTCTCTCTCTATCCGTGCATATCTATTCATTAATTCCAGAGAACTCTCTTTATCTCTATCTCTATATCTATCTGTTATTATTAGTATAAGGATCATCCGTCTCTCTCTCTTCACAACATGTGTGGAAGAGCAAACATAAGCGGAATATCAGGAGAAGCTGGCAGCATTGTACATCCATACAAATTCACACATTCAAGATCTCTCATTACGTTTGCATTTGCAGACTCTACAGATCGCAACAATTCCTCACAGTTGGAGGCGGGGTATTGTATAGACATTATATCCTCATCAAAACAGCGCTCTACACTGTTACTACCATCAGTACTACTACTACACCCATTACAAGTGTTATTCATTATATTAGTATGATAGAGTAAACGGAATTGTGATGGGTCCTGCAGAGTTTCTTCTTTTTCTTTTTCTTCTTCTTCATTATTGAGAACATTACACATTCCTCCAAACACCATGTTATCTTCTTCTGTTCGTTTCCTCTTGCGTGATTCCCTCTTGTGATTCCCATCATGATAACTATTCCTCTTATCATAACTCTCTTGTACGTACAACTCGTCTGATGGCTGCAGAGAAACTCCTCCACATATTTTAAGAGAATTGACAACTTGTCCTTCTTCTTCTTCTTGTTGTTGTAATAATATTGGTGTTGTTGTTGAGATTGGAAATGATTTCTTACCAACAATTGTGTTGGTGACGTTTCGGCCGAATTCACGCGGGGTTTGAATGTTCATGAGCACTGATTTCTCACAAATCCCTCTCTCTCCTCTTTCTATTACCTGTATAGAATTGTACTAAGAAAAGAAAAAAA